AAATCGGAAATTACGTTGCTTTACGGCTTAAAGCACAAACAATAAATAATCCCTGTATGCAAAAAGTAAAATTCAACTCGAATAAATTCAGCAAAAATAATATTGTGCAATATTTGCCTATCATCTCGCACTTTAAGGACACCTTAACAATAGAATTCAAATAAATCGGAGCTGAGAAAGCGCCCATTTAATAAGTTTATTAAAACAAGCCAAAAAACTTTTGTCTATTCAAAATGGGGCGCAGTCCTTTTTGTTGTCAGCTGCTGCCTTGGCTGTGCAGGATAATAAGAATAAGCATATACTTATTATTCTTAGACATTCTATGGCCTGTCCTGTTTGGAATGATCGATGTACATTGAAATTCATGTTGAAATTTTATGAACTCGACAGTCAAATTGAATCAAATATGCAAAGCCCGTCAACTTGTTGGCCTTCTGTAGATTCCCTCGACTCGGCCCCCCGGCCTCGGGCAGTCAGTCACTCAATTACTTGAGAATGCAGCCCATACTTTCTTTTAGTTTAGATATTATATCATGTCTGAAGCGGCTTTCTTGTTCCTAGGCCAATCACTCACCGAGGGCTTTGATTTTGGGCGGGCCGAAAAACTTTGTCCGGGCAAACAGCAGAAATTGTTGGCCCATCAGCATTATGGGTCTAAAAAGAAAAGCAACAGCTACAACTACAACAACAACTTGTTTATTTTGGCCCTGCAGTTCGTTGTGGCAACAATTGTGCAGAGTTTTACCACCCCCTCCCCTTGCCTTAACCCGGCAGCCATCAATCAGAGCTCAGCCAGAAAAGTTGTCCAAATAAAAATAAAAGCGCAATAGTTTTTTTTCTTTACCTTATTTTTGTCCAAATTAATATTGAAAAGATTTGAGTAACAGCAATCAGCTGACCACTGCCCCTCACTCCAACTGCCACACCACATTAAATTGGTGCCACAAAATTCACAAAACAACATAATCATCAACTTGAGGCTTTAATAAAACCAAATTATGATCAGTCGCAGAGGCGTTGGCCAAAAATGTAACTTCTAATGGATTATTATGTTTGAGTGTGTGTGTGTGTGTGGGGTTGTGGGTGGTGGGTGGTTATAACCACAGCTGGCAGCTGGCAGATGCTTTCTTACATCCATATGTGGCCTAAGAGTTTTGCCATCGGTTTTGCCACTTGCGATTTAATTCCCTTTGCTTGGTCGTAAACTTTACGCATTCACTGTAATCAAATTTTATGAAAATGTTCTGTGGATGCCCACCAAACTCCATGTTGCTCGTGTGCTTTAATGTATTTTCCGTGGTTCTCGTTTCTTTCTAGTTGTTGTTGCTGTTGTTGTTGCTGTTGTTGTTGCTGTCGATGTGTGTTGAGTTATTGTTGCTCCGGTTTCTGTGGCGCTGTGAATGAAAATTTTGCGGCATAGATAATTAAATAATAAATTGTTGTAATGTGTACATTTGGCACACCATCTCTCTCTCTCTCTCTCTGTCTCTGTCTCGGTCTCTGTCTCGGTCTCTGTGTCTTGTCTGGCTCTTTAACAAATTTCTGCGTGTCTGCATCGCATGAAAAGGCCATAAATGATTTATATGCACATTGAATGCGCCAACAATAGATTTAATTTAACGATGTCTTGGCGACGACGCCATTTTAGCTTTCGTCCTCGCTCTCACTCTCCTTCTCTCTCGCTCTCTCTCTCTCTCTCTCTCTGTCACTGTCTCTACATATCCTTGAGCTGCTTCTTCTGCTGCTGTTGAGGTAATTACGCGTGAATACGCGTCGGGGGAAATGTTGCGGAAGTCATTGGCATATGAAACATCAAAATCAACATCAGCATCAACATCAATATACCGAAACCTCCCCAAAACCTCATATGGTATTATCTTAGTCATTTTCTACATGTGCAAATTAATTTTACACTATTATTCAAACGGAAACTGGAGTCGTGCATGGGAATTAGCTATGGAAATGATGTCTAGAGCAGTCAGTTGCATGCCACATGTGTACGACACACAGTATTATTGCCACAGGTTCAATGAAATTCAATTGGCTTGATTACACAGCTTGAGTGCATAGCCATATTAATTAGCAGATAAGTTGTGAATGCAACTATTATTTTGGTATATTTTGTGCATTTAGCTTCTACATTTAGTTGTTTGTAAAAAGTATTAAAATTCCCATTAATCAATTTGAAATCCTGACTCCACTTTTCATTCATAATTGAAATATGTTCTTCACATCGTACTTTTGGTCTTTACAAATATCATTAACTCGCAAATATATTACAATTATTAATTCATTTAATTACAAATTTATTATTTTTTTAACTTTTTCCGTGCATATGTTGCAGCTTAAATTTTAATTGTCTAAAAGCAAATACAAAATACAGCTGATTTGGCTATAAAACTGTTTTATGCGCCATTTTGCACATTAATGAGGATTGTCAGGTGAGAGCTGCCACTCTCCCTCTCTCTCTGTCTCACACTCCATTCAACTTCCAGCTGAGCTTACACTTTTTCACTTATTCATCCTTACACTCTCTCTTTCTCTCTCTCTCTAGCTCTAGCTCTAGGCAGCAATAAATTATGGCTGGATCACGCGCCATCTTCTTCTGCATTCCAGCTGTGCATTCCGTTGTTTAGAAAACTATTTTTGTAACTAGCTCGCATTCCGGCCAGTGTTGCCCAAGCATCTGCTGCTCACTCTCACTCTCTCTCCCTCTCTCTCCCTGTCTTTCTTTGGAAAGAAAGATGATGGAAGTGCGATGCTGCAAAAGAGCTGACATTTCACTTTTCTGATGCGATTACGCAGTGGACGCTACTTTTTCTTTGTGTCTACGTGTGTGTGTGTGTGTGTGTGTGTGTGTGTGTGTCAGTGTGTAGCTCCCTGCTACAACACTGCAAATTGCTTACGGTCACGTACCAGGCTGCCTCCTGTCTCTCAACGCGACAAGAATGTGCTTCAAGAAAGAAAAAAAAACGAAAGAGCAAACAAAAAAAAAAAATAGCAACAAAAATGTAAGGCAACAGCAAAACAAAAAAAAAATACAAAAAAATGGTGCCAAACTTAATGAAAATGCCAACGCGTCGCCATTTTGGCCGCAGAGGCGCAGTTTCCAGCCGACCGCCTTACCCCCTTTTACCCATTTCCATAATATGTTATTTTTCATGCGTTTTAGCGAAAATGTTTCCATTGTGTGCACGTGTATGTGTGTGTGTGGTGTGTGTGTGTGTCTGTGTATTGACATTTTTGATTTCTTGCTCCATTTTCCTGCTATTCGTTTTCGTCTCATTCTTTTTTTTCTTTTCGTTTTTATTTTTGGTATTGCGCCATTTTTCTTGTATTTTGCTGGCGTTTGGCATTTGCATATCAAGATAGTGTCATTAAATTTGCATATTTTGGATAAATTTAAATTCTTTGCATGTTTGCTCTCTGTTCCGTTCCGTTTCATTTCGTGTCCTCCTTTTCTTCTGGTGCTTTTCCTTCTTCTTCTTCGGCTTCTGCTTCTGCCGTTTGCTCATTTTGCTCGTTCTTCAAATTTCGCTTGACTTGTTGTTGTAATTTATTGTTGTAGGCATATGCAGAGAGCTTTGTTTACACACACAGACACACTGGGTATGTGTGCGTATGCGTGTGTCAGTTTTTTTTTTGTTTTGCCCGCCTCTTGTTGGCATGCATCATTTGTTTAGTCCTTTAGTCCTCTTTGTAAAGTGCCAAAGTCGTGGGCCGAGTGTGAGTGGCAAGGGGCGTATGTTGGGGGCTAATACGAACCGGGATAATGCTCATATGTGTGTGTGTGTGGGGGTGTCGCACTTTTATGTCGCGCACTTGTTGAGAATATTAATTTTATTTAAATATTTCAAAATGTCACCGAGCTGCTTGCTGGCTCAACAGTTTCCACAGTTTCCCCACTTTTCCCCGTTTCCACCAAGACTGTGACGAACTGACGTCAAAAAAGGAGGTTAGAGGATCGGAAGGGGGCGTATTTCGTCCTTTTTTATTGGCCCGTATTCGTGAAATGGCCAAGAACAGATGGCAATGAAACGGCGCCAGCAAACACTATAAACCAGATGAGAAAAAAAAATTCCAACACAATAACAGTTTCAGATGATTGACAACTGATATGTGTAAAACATATAGAATAGAAAGAATCGAGTCTTATGCTTAGCATTTTAATGAGTAAAGAAAGGGAATTACATAGAAAAGAAAATAAGTTTTGGCTTTTTGACTTTAGAAGAGTACAACAATATAAAATTCTTGCAATTTTAGTTCTTATTTTCGATTGACTACTGTAATCTTTTTCTTTTATGTTTATCTTATCGTGCAATTATCATAATTTATGCTTCCCGATTATTTAAATATGGCGCGAAAAAGCGCCAAGTGCTGTGCACTTGTGATAAAAGCTCGCTGCTACAACACGCGTATGTGCTCAGCTGCATTCTTCAGCATAAGCAGTGTTGTATGTGCTTTTACACACACACATACATACATTCATACATAAGTATTTATATGTGTACATCCGTTCATATATATTTTTATATTTACAAACATATGCACTTAATCAGCGCAAGCACAGCAAGTTTCTATTTCTATTTGTTGAATTATTTAAATTTATATTGCCGTTTCAAAACAACAACAGCAACAACAACAAAGCAAAACGGCTGCTTTTGCCGGGTGCCTGCCTGTCCCACTAGTTGAAACGAGAGCGAGAGCGCGAAAGAGAGAGATAGAGTACAAGAGCGCCAACAGATAGTGAGACAAAGAGATGAAATGAGCGCACCACAAAGTAAAAAATTTGTGTTTGTACTCTCTCTTTCTCTCGCTCACGGTCTGCTCTCTCTCGCTCTCTGTGTTGCTTTGGCTGTTTGCTTTTGCTATTTCTCATCCACCACCGTTTTCACATACATTTCGTTCCGTGTCCGCTGTCGGTTTTGTGTGTGTTGCGCTTTTTTTCGCTTGGCCCGCTCGCTGCGCAACGTATATTTTGTCGTTGTACATTTTTGCATAAATTCAAAATTCATTACGCACCAAACACACCAACAATATACACTAGCAACAACAACAACAAAGCAACAGCAACAACTAAGAAGCGGCGCGTGTCAAGTACAAAGTGCGGTCGAAATTCTTATTTCTTCTCACTTTCAGTGCGACTCTGTGTGCAAAAAGTCTGTGCGTGTATGCGTGTGACTGTGTGTGTGTGTGTGCGCTTTTGTGTGTGTGTACGCTGTTGTTGCTGTGTGAGTAAAATCTCAAATCTCGTAATCGTAATCAACGTATAACGCAAATAACGTGCAACAAGAGCAGCCAGCGCACAGCTGACATTCAAAAAGTAAGCATTCCGCAACCGACCCCTTGCCTACCCCTTATGCCTTATCTGTTCTGTCGTAACAAATTTTGCAGCTTTCAGCTAATTGAAAGCGTAGCGAAAAAAATGGTGTTGTTGTTGTTGTTGCTTATTGCATGTCATTGCACTCGATGGTAATAGTTAGGTGCGAATTGGAAATTGCATAAAAACACATAATAAGTAGCAGCAGCAGCAAATGTGAAAATGAAGCAAACATGAAAACAAACGCAAGCAAACCAACAACAAAAACAGGGACGCTCTCAGTCAGTTGGTCGCTGCATACAATACACTATCAAACTGCTTGACACTCATTCAACATTTAGATGCAGAATCGTTGAATGTGCACAAAATTGCTTGTGCACTTTTACAAAATGTTTGTCCAAAAAGTGTGATGCTATTTTTAGTGCCGAAATCTAATCAAAGCGGGCAATGAGGCAAAATCAGGCGGGCGTTTTGTGTTTTTGTTTTTTGCTCACTTGTTGTGCGTGCTTGCTTTTTTTGTTGTTTTTTTGCCTTTGCTTTTGCCGGCGCCCGCTCTCTGACAGTGCTGCTGTTCTCTCGTTCAGTCAGCTGCAGCTGTCAGAAAACGTCTGATGCTGTCGCTCTCTCTCTCGCTTACGCTTACTCTCTCGCTCTCGCTTACGCTTACTCTCTCGCATTGCTGTCATTGTCCTTTTGGGAGCACAGAAATTCGTTAATAATAAAAATAATAATAATAACAAGAACAACAATTGTGTCGCGCAGTGTAAGCAATAAATTATTAAAACTGTTATTCAGCATAATAAATACAACATAGATTTTCTTTAGTGTGTGTGTGTGTGTGTTTGCAAGTAACTGTTGTTGTTGCGCCTTTTTTGGCTTTACTCTTCGCCGGTCAACGTCTGAGCATGTTGTGTGTTGTCTGTGTGTTGTGTGTGTGTGTGCAAGTGACTGTGTATATGTGTGTGATGGTGTTGCCGTTGTCTGGCCCCATAAAAATACAAGTTGGCTGTGTGCTATTTTTAAGCCTATAACATGTAGCAAGAATCTAGCCAGCCACTAGAACAACAACAAAAACAAACAAATAAAATGATGTGCATAATAAAATTTTGCATATGTTGCATGCAAACGCGTCTTGCAACAGTGTTGCCGCCGCCGATTGCAATAAATTGCACATTAGACAGACTTCAAATGATCTGGACATGTTTCTCTCTCTCTCTCTCTCTTTCTCTCTCGGACATGACACGCATGAAATGGCCGCTGAGAGTGCAAAGTGCAGTGTAGAGTATAGCAGAAAGCTACCTGCAGTGTTGCCGATGCGCAAGTAGAACTACTGCCAAAAACGGTGTCTTTAGTAGTTGAGTAGTGAAGATATAACGAAGAAATTCGATAATAATAGTTAATAAAAGTGTAAAGTGCAGTAGTATAACAATTAGTTCATTACTGCTACTAATGCAGCGTTGCCAATGCGTTAGCAGAACTACTGCCAAATAAGGCACAGCTTCTAGATAAATCCGAGAAATAAAATAATAACAATTAATAATAATAATAGCCATACAATGTTATATTAATAGAAAGTGTCATAATTATCAAATTGTTTGCTATTGGTGTAGATATTGTTTGTGCTGCCGCCGCATTCACAATTCACTTTCTCTAATCACAATTTTCGCTTATCAGTTTTGTTTTATTTGCCATTTCCTTTTGCAGTTGATTCGTCGCAAGAGAAATAATTCAAACAAGAGCTAGAAGAAGAGGAGGAATCAGCATTTGTAATGCATCCACGCTATAGCCCAGCCCCCCCGCCTCTCCATCAGCAGCAGCAGCAGCAGCCGCCGCAGCAGCAGCAGCAGCAAATGGGCGGGCCCCATCAGCAGCAGTCGGGAGGCGTTGGGCCCGGAACTGGACATGGCGGCGTTGGAGCTGCCGTTGGAGCTTCCAATGCTGGCCACATGAGAGCGCCACCAAATTCGCAGCAATTACCGCCGCCGATGCCGCGATCACAAAATTATGCAAATGTGAGTAAAATGAAAACAGCTTTTTTATACTAAGTATGTGGAATAATTTTGCTTAGAGTTGTAATCGGTGAGTTGTTATCGATATAACTAAGTGCTTTTTGCGTTTGATAGCCTGATATCGATAAAGTTAAAAGAATGATAATTGTTTATTCTCTATGTTGCAGTGGCAAAAATATATGATTTTTCTTATGATTCATATCTATTCCTCAACGAGTTTGTATTCAATCAGACTGAAGTTGCTAGTTTGGATTTGGATTTGAGTGAAGATTGGTGCTGCAGCAAGCTAATTTACTAAAAAGATACTCCCCATAATATTTATTCATTAAATATTAACGCTATTTATAGATTCTTATAGTGTTGACTAAATATCGATATTTATATAAATTCCCAAGAAATTGCCCCTCAATTCTTATCTAACCCATTTCATCATCTAAATCATGATTTAAAATCTTTATTTACTCATAAATAAAATGCATAATTTAAAATGCCAAACTGCTTGTGCCTATATATATATATACTTAAATATATATATATAGGTATATATATACGAACACCAGCTTGTGCGCAATCAGCGCCACAATGAATCAATCAATCGATCAATCAACTGCATCAGTGCATCAATCAAGCAATCAAGCTGGCAGCAGCGCACTCACTCACACACTCATTCATTCATTCACTCGCACAAACTCATTCATTCAAATTTGGTTCGGCACCCTTCTATGCTGTCGTCGTCTGCTTCTTCTTCTTCTTTTACTGATTTCAGACTTCTGATAGGGGGCGCCCCGGCGGCCGCAAGGGGGCGCCACTGCAATCGACATGTGTCATACGCAGCGTTGGCCCAGTTGAGTGGAAAATTGCTGCTGCTGCTGCTTGCCGCTGCTTGCTCCAGCAATGATATGGCTTTCTATGCACTCTATGCTGGCAAATTCTCTATCCCCTACCCTCTTCCCATTAACCACCCCGTTCATATCAATTCACGACACTTGCAGGCCTAATCCTGCTTACCTGCAATCATTACTCAAATAAATCTAAAGCTCGACCCTTTTTTTTATGTTTCTTTTACTTTTTGATTAATTCCAGTGCAGATTTCATTGCATAATGCTGGCAAATATTTATATAATATATACATATATTTAAATATTTTATGCATTCTAAAAAACACAAAGGCAGTTTTACATTTGTAAGCTGCGGTGCGTCCTTAGCCCCTAACCCCTCCTCTACTTTTGCAACCTCCCCTACAATCTGCACCGTTGCCTTCTAAAGCTACTTACCTGCGTATATTTGTATAATAAACTATTCAGTTGATGTTGCCGCACAATGCGGCGACCAACTACTGTGGCTACGTTTTAAGCAATGCCCCCGAAACCCTCCCCCGCACTCCACAACCCTGCCCACTCCTCAGTGCCCGTTGCCCGTTGCCCGTTGCCCATCTCAGAGCTGTGTTACTCGCTGTGCTTTGTGGCCACGTCTATTTTGGGCATCCTCTAATGGCCGCATGGCGTTGCTTTTGCTTTTCACGAGCGTTCCATTTAAATAGCTTTCAGCACACTCGCAACAACAGCAACAAGAACAACAATGCCGACCACATCAAAATAAAAATGTAAAATTGCAAAAAAAATAAAGAAAACAAAATTGTAAACATTCCCGCTTAGTCAGCGCTGAAGTTTTCTTGTCTGGCTTGGGAATTTTTCTATAAAACTTGCATATATGTATATCATTTTATGCGATTCACAAAATTGAATTCTTAAAGCCAGCTGCAGACCTTTGAACATCTTTAGTTGCTTGTCGAAATGTTCTTTTTAAGATGTCTCCATTCTTTTCTTCTTCAGCAATTTATTCTTTTCATGACAAACGTTGGATTTGTGGTAAAAATTTTAATTTTAGTATAGCAAATGGCATATCTGCGATTTCTTAATATTCGCTCATATATTTTTAGTTACATGATAGATCTTTATAAATATATAATTAAAGTTTAATATGTCTTAAATTTTATTCAATAAAGCTTATATATTGACTGCGATTATTTTTAACTGTTCACAGACATTGCTACTAATAAAATAATATTTAAGTGCTTCTAACTGATGCTAGTTCTTATTTCATTTTCTGCCAGATCAGATTCAAAGTCTGCAATTTTAAATGATTTTTTTTGAAACTCACTCAAACTGAACTAAGTATTTCATTTTATGTACAATACTAAGATCTGGTTTATATTTTACTTGGTGCCAGCTGTTTCAAAGTATTTAAGTTTCAAAGAATTCCTAAACAGAAACCTATTCGAAAATTCTCCATGGATTTATGTTGTCTACCAAAACTCTCCAATTTGTTGCCTTGAATTTTTGGCTGCCTCATTTTCGATACTCGGTGGACGAGATATTTGCCTTGTTTAAGTATATATTTATATTTGATTGGGCAGCTAGCTGGGTAAACAATAAGTGTGTGTGTGTGTGAATTGTGTATAAGTGTGTGTAGCCTTGAGGAGCACGTCGTCATTTTTGATTAAATTCAATGTTGACAATTACCAAACGCAAAGTTGTTAAGGTAATTGCGGCTCGCGTAGGCTGAGATGCATTTCAATTGGTTACGCCCCAACGGGTTGCATGAGTAGACTCCCCTTCCTCCCCACACACACAGAAAACATGTTGCCTACGCGCTGCAAAACACAGTCTCCCCGCCAGCCACTCCTCTCGACTACTCCTTTGCCATGTGCAGCGCTGAATGTGCCGCCTCATGTCCTGCAACAATGCAAAATGCGTGCAACGCATGCGCTAAACATTTGTGGATCCTGTAAAATGGCTCTCGCTGTGGTAAACGTTTGCCGGCTGGCACGAATGCGTCATCGGGTGCTGAAGCCGAAGGCTGGCGCCGACTGGCTGCCAATGTGCTGGTCTGGCCTCAAGTTGAACATGCAACCTTACTCAATGAGAAATTCAGAATCCATTCGACGATTGTCAAGTTAAGTTAAACGCCTTTTCCTCATTTCTCGCAAACGGAAAGCGAACGACCGACCAGCCAGCCAGCCAGCCAGCCAGCCAGCAGCAGCCAACGCCAAAGCCAAAGCAAGCAGCCAACGCCAAAGCTAAAGCCAAAGCAAAGCCGAGCCGAAGCTGAAGCCAAGCCAAGCAGCCAAAAAGCCAGTCAAAGTCAGGAGTCAAGACCCAACTGATCCATCAGCAGTCCCCCGTCAAAAAACAAAAAAAAAAAAAAACAAAAAAAATTATAACCAGCCGTTAAATTAGATCAAGTGAAGTTTCGACAAGTAGTCGCCATTTTGTGTTTGCGCCTTTCCCCAAGTAAAAGCGAAATTAATATCAAATATTATAAAAATAATAATTTTCACGCGCGTATACGTCATATTTAAATATATATTCTATAATTGTGAGTACATTCTGTCCATATATAAAAACATAGTCAGAGTTGCGCTTTTTGTTTTGTGTCGTCGTCGTCGCCGTCGTAGTCGTCGTCGTCGTCAAGTGAATGCACTCACGATTGTTTACCGTTGTTGTCTGGGCAATCCACACACACCAATTTAACAACAATAACAACAACAACCAACAGTATTATTTACACGAACGGTGCTACCACTAATTAGCCTAACAACAAACCAAACAAAGCAAAACAAAACAAAACAAACATACGACAGCAACTCAAACCGCTCAAAGCTAGCAACAAGAAATTGGCTAAAGGTCTAAAGTCCCTATAGAGAGAAGGTTATTTGTATTTCAAATACAACCAGCTAAAAGTGCAGCAAAAATTGTCTTTTAAAGATACAAAGTTGATAAAAAAAAATAATATTAATAAAAAAAACAGTGAGTTTTAAACTCTTCAAAAAAATAAAAAATAAAGGTAAAAATAATTTATTAATCTCAAATAATTAAAATAATCTCTGTTGAGAAAAGCTATTAAAACAATTTAAAAATATTAAATGCATAGTAAACAGTATTATTTTAATAAAAAATATTAAATTGAAATTAAAATCAAAATTAAATCAAGACTTCAAGTGTTAAACAATTTTGTGTGTTAAAAAAGACAATAAAATAAATAAAAAAAAACAAAAACTTGCAAGCTATAAAAAAGTGGTTTTAAAACAGCGCAAAGTGTGAGTGAAAATTATTAAAAGCAACATAAAACTAGCTAATTAAAAAACGAAAAAAAAAAAATTAAACTAGAAAATTTCTAAATATTTCAACTAGCAAAAGAAAAAAGCTTAGCTTAAAAATTAAACATAAAAATTTGCATATTTAAGTCTCAGTGTGCTTTAGTAACTGTAATTGTTATAGAAACTTCAACTTAACGTAAAACTTTTAAGTGTTTGGTGTTAGCAAAACAAAAAATAATACAAATAACAAACAAAATATAATTAGTAAATGTTTTTAAAACAAACAAAAACGTAATCAACACTTAGCGCAAATTGAATTATTCTCTGGTCGTTGTAATTAGAAAATAAATAGCAAAAAAATAGAAGCAAAAATAAATACAAATAAATAAGAACCTGAAATCCCGACGAGGCAAAAGGCACAAATAAACAAACTGACAACCGTTGGCAAGCAGTAAAGAGGAAGCGAGGCAGAGAGAGAGAGAGAGCGAGAGTGTGAGAGAGAGAAAGCAAACAAAAAGCAAGCTAAAAGTAGCTAAAAGGAGGCGTCAAATTAATTCACAATCAACGTGCACATTAATAGCCATTAAAATTGCGTCAATCAAGAGAAAAACGTCACCGCTGCCCACAATAACATTGAAGCTAACTAATTTCAGTCAGCTCGAGCAGCAACAGCAGCAGCAGCAACAACAACAGCAACAACAACAACAGCAGCAGCAGCAGCAGCAGCAGCAGCAACAACAACAACAGTGCGAGGCAACAACAGCTGCAAGTCAACAGTTGGCAACAGTTGTGCAAACAGAGCGGCAGCAAGAAGCAGCCACCACAACAGCAACAGCAACAGTAACCGCAACAGTAGCAACAGCAACAGCAGCGGCGGCAAACGTAGAAGCAGCAGCAGCAGCAG